ATGAAGCAGCAGCAAATTGGGTGTGTGCAGTGGGTGAGTGCAGTGGTTTAAGGCGGGCAACACCCAATTTGCTGCTGCTTTAAAGTTGCTCATTACACTGCGGTTCACAGGTAGTGGCCCGGATACGAGTGAAAACTCTGTTTGGACATGACTTCGGCTTTACTGTGTCTAGCCGGAAAGTTTTAACATCGAAGCTACTGAACAAGTAACCTGGCGTTTATTCGAGATTTAAAAATATCTAATAATCTTCTAGCAATGTAATCGAGAAAAGGATTTTATCATGAAAAACATTAAAAGTACGAATCCACAGCTATGCCACAGTTAGCCTAGCTACAGTTAGCAACATAGAATAAATGAAAGTGCAAAGCGCAAACTATTAGCTTTGGAAGTCCAAATTGTGATAGCGAATTGACTGTTCAAGATTAACGTTAGTTTAGGAATAAATTTGATTAACAGCACCTGATGGATTATTCCATGTTGATGATTTTCCACCATTCGAAAGCATAATTTGGTTTGCTAGATTTAAAAGATAACACGTTTAAATGTGTACCTATTGGTAGCATTTTTACAAGATCTAGCCTTCGCTAGTCGGCTATTAATGTTAATGATACGACATTTACTTCAATTCACTGAACAACATTCAATAGTACTAGTGTCTCCTCTTTTTTATATTATGCTGCTATTTAGAACATAGTTACTGGATCATTTTGCAAATTCTTTTACCCCAACCATTTTCTGCCCACTCCTTGTGTATATCCCAGCTGAGTAGCTCGAAGTAGCTATATATATAAAAATCGTGTTTCGTAACTCTTTTTAGCTAATTATATAATATGGATAAAATAATCATGTCTATAGAAAATAATTGTTATAGATTTTCAATATTTCGATTAACTGAGTTCTGTTGATAAATTACAGAATGTTACAGAAGGAATTAAAATGCTGGAACCTATTCTGTGTTTTCGGCAGATGGAGGTTCAGCAGCGTTTTCTCCTGCGGTTATGCTGCGGTCCGCAAACCATCCCGCCACTAATATCGTTGACATTTGGCTAGATTGAAGGACTACTTTCAAAATACTCGGACCACATCCCTTGTAGTTTGGCGATGGGCGCAGCCTCAAAACTGATTGCGCAACGACGTTTTCCAGGGAGAGGGTCACTCGAATGGATCGCCATTTTTCGTGTTGGTTACTTGCCGATTTGCGCTCATCATGACTCCCAGCCTCGGGAGCACCGTGTAAAAGGATGGTCCTAGCTATGTATTCCATTCGCTTTTCGGCCAAATAGTGCTTCGCCTGTCTGCGGTCACTCCAGGGAAAACCCGTTAATAGGTGAATGGAACATGACCCATTCTGGAGGCGGGATGTCGATAACAAGACAGTCTCTGATTCATTGGCCGAAGCCAGCACATCTCGGAGAAGCCTTGTTTCACCTTAATGCTATATGCTTGCGTGACCAGCAACGCCTGTCAAAATGATGGGCATAGATACAACACCTATGGTGTCACATAAGAAGTTCCACTGGTTCACGTCATCGAGTCGTTTTCTTCATGAGTAAGTTGACGTCGATTCTTGAATGTTGGTGCAGTCTTTCGCAATTCTTCTATGGTTCATTTACAATCTTTACCAGTGTGATGACTATACATACTAAACAGAACCACAGTGAATCTACTTTACTATTGTGTAGCTTCAACTGGTTCCTTGTGGAAAATTGCCTTGCAAACTGCTACACTGGATTAAACTTCGTACCTATTTATGGCATGAAGGAAGGCCACAAACTATTGTCGAGCTGGATGCGGTAACATTTGGTTTTGTTTGATTGCCACGATCCATTGCATCGATCGATGTTATTCCATTAGAGGCCCGATCGCTTATGGTTTCCAGCCAGTAGCTTGTGCACTTGAATTGTCTGCATTTTCAAGGTCGTCACCTGCTGTGTTTCTGGACCAAAAGGGCAGCTTTAAGCTGTTAGATCCTTCATGCGGCAAACTGAGCGACAAGGACCGCTGCTTCGTCAGCTACAGTCCTAGTGATCGAATGGTCAAGGTTCACTTCAATGGGAATTGAGATTGCGCGTCGCAATCCATCCACACAACGTGTATTTCAAATTGACTTTCCAAATGACTGCTAGTGTTCGATAGATATTTTGATGAAAGGAGTACAGCTGTGCTTGCTGCTTCGTTAATTGTAACGTGTAGTAGGCATTCGTTTGAGATCACAAATATTTAGGTGTAGTTCGTGATTCAGAACCTTCCACGTTTATCTTGTTATTGAATATCGCAGAAAACTCAATGTGGATATAAAAGGCAACATACACAAGGTAAATCCGGTAGATGGATTTTACCAGATAGCGCTGAGGAATCTAGGTCGAATGAGAGTGAACACAATTTACATTAAGAAATGTAACTGAGAACGATGTCAAAACAACGTGTTCAATGATGAGCGATTGGAACGCAGATTCATTAAAATGCGTTCAAATTTCAGTTCACTGTATAGCCATGTCAAATGTGTCCTAAATGGAATGCCAGTATTAGTTATTTGTCACAGTTGTACAATTCAGACACCATCGTTAATATATAGTGGATCCGAAACTGCATCACTCGATTAAAGTTTACTACTCGGTCTCGGGGTTAAGGGACTTCGGGAGGCTGAACATTCATAAAGTTATCGTTAATTAGCGGATGGGGTCGCAGCTGACAAATCTAATATCCTGCTCAATGGATAGAAAAAAGACTGCTGGAATAAATGTATTCAGATCAATCAACGGTCTTCCACAAGCAATTACATAGACACCCGAAAATAAGACTAACGAAAAAGGGACCATCTGTCCAAATCTTCGTTACTGCAGTTAGAGGGAACCATACGAAAATTGTTTGGAAACAAGTTCCATATCCATAGGAACTTGAAACATAGGCGCGACGGTAGTACTGATCCGCACGCCATCCGAACCCCACTAGGTTGATACGTGTTGAGTCTAAACCATTTATTAGCTTCTATGTAGGATCAGTTTTGGGTAGAGCCCCGAGATGACCTATACAGTTCTGCTGGCAAGATTTGATGATGATTGTCTTCCAAGCCGGATTTATGATCGCTGCGAACTCCAAACAAACATATCCACATGAATACTAGGGTTCTTCTACTAGTGTCGAAAGCCTTATTGTTAATCTCCCAGTTTCTAATTGTGGTTCTGCTGCGAAAGCTCAATACTATAGATTTTCGTGTTGCGGAGATAGGAGTTTAAGCTAAGGCTGCACGACTGCAGGAGGCAGGCATATAAAAGCGAGTTCCACCACAAGTCTTCAAGCGCACTACGTCCGTTTGCTATCGTAAGGCATATTTCAACTGCCGGCGAGGTAGCCTTTCTTCGCACAGTCCACCTCTTTGGTACTGAAGCACTTCTTGAACAAGCCACTGAGGGACAGAGGTGCATACGTGCATCGATATGAAGGATATCACTTTGGAATGCCTGTTTCTCAAAATCCATTACATGGAGGTGCCCATTGCTATTGCCTTAAATACGATCTCTACCTCAGAGCCCTATGAGGATGTTGTTGCAAGATCCTACGCAATTCTAATTACTTCAGGATAGCTAGTAATAAATGCTATTTCGTATTACGTAAATAAGAGAGATGTGTAGCCAAAGTAGACGTTTTATGCACCTCAAATTATCTGCGCGATAAAGCAGTAGTAAAAGTGGACGTAAAATTCAGAAAACAATTGGGAACTTTGAAGAATTTCAAAAATAAGAGTGAATTGCGCACAACAGCTATTAGAAAATGTTTGCTAAGTATCTATAATTGGAACGATGCTAAAGATAGTTGCATACAAGAGTGGATGCTCTCCAGGAAACAGAAATGTTAAAGGAAATTAGGTTTAATGCACTAGGTGGATTATTCGCTATTGATGATTAATGGATCATGTAGAAATATCTTTCCACCATCTCAAACAATAACATGCTTATCGTGCTTTAGAATATTACATGCTCAAATTAACCTTTTTACATTAAAAGCATTTGAATACAGTTTGCCTTTACACATGCATATACCATTACTTCGACGATTTTCTCTATTCTCCCGCCGATCTCACATTGCATACATGGTCGTGCTTGCCATCTTGTATATTATTCTGTTCTTTAAAACAATGTTACCTGGGTACGTTTCAAATTATTCTTTCCTCCAAGTTTTCTGTCTCGATCGTGTGCATATTCTATATTTATATTTTGAAGTAGCAAAATTTATAAACCATTAGGGCTAGGTAATCCGAGTTAGCGTACTTTTCTCGGTAGCATCCGTAAGCTTCTTGTTCAGCTAGACATATGTTAGCAAATAAAAATGTAATGTAATACGTTGTAAGTTGCACGGATCTTAGCAATTAATGGGATTCCGCCCAGCAGCAATATATGAGCAAGAAAATAATTCTGATTCTGCTCCATTTTAACCAACTAGGGAACGTGCTAATTCCCCCTTCGGATTTACAGAACACGGAGTGTGATGATCCAGGCATGATTTCATTTTACGCGGAAAGCTTAACCGGATTTATTACCGCAATGCATTAAAAATTACCAGTGTTAACCGTGACGAGAACCGCTGTGAACACCTTGATTTATGTGCCATGAAAATTGTGAGGAGTTTTTAATTGCCATAATATTTGCCAGCGATGTTAAATCTTAAGGCAAATCGTCTGTGCAAAATTTTCGCCATTCAAAGTATTTCAGTTTGTGCAACTAGGCGGTTTAGAAATTGATCTTATGGAGTATGCAAATATAATCTTGCTCTAATGCTTTCCGTAGTTCAACCTAGCTGGTACCGGATATTCATAACGAATGGTTTCCGTAAAATAAGTTTACAATTTCGGTAGCAGTAAATTGCAGTTTATCAAACTATACTCCTTCCATCTGAATTACCGGCGAATAAGGGCAAACACTTGATGGAGGTAAACTATATTTTTCTCAAAATGATGAAAACTTTAAATATTATATTGTTTCGTCACAATTCCAAGTGTGCTTTTACGTGCAAATTCTAAAATGAAAGAATAATATAACCAGCATCACCAGAGAATTAGGCTAAGTAGAAATAGTCAAACGCTACCTAGTGTTAAAAACCGTGCATACTTTTGTTAAGCAACTATGTTCCCATTTTTAATATATGCCACATTGGTCTTGACCTCTACAGCGCAGTGTATAGCAGTACATTATAGTGATTTGATTGGATGTTGAAGCAGAATAGGCAATTATGTTATAGCACTAATTGCTATATTCATGAGTGTTGAAAAATTTCCTTGAATAAAACAACTTACCTATAGACATAAATATATCCTCTTCTTTGACGAATTTGCTCTTCAGTAGGCCTTATAATTTCCAACTCTACCTCACATCCACTGCTATCCCTATATTTTTTAGTTCGTGTGCGGTCGCAAGCATACTTCTTGGCTCCGTATATTATGTACGGTTTACCTGTGTCGGAAACAGAGCAATAAGTACAGCCGTCTCATAGGATGAAATAGAGTAAATTAACGCATTCAATAAATACCATTGGTTTAAAAACTATCTAACAGGTTTTCCTATTTGTAACTCACCATTTTTGTCATATTTCATTTGAATAATAGAGACCTCAGCATCCGTAAGATATACCATGCAAAGTAAGCTGGTTAACAGTATGATTATTGTGGTTGGTTGCATCTCGATCTATGTTAAGGATGAACCGGAATCTGAAGAGCAAATGAATTGACGGTCTATCGTACTTAGTGGGAAGAACAATATAAAAACAATAATTGTGAATACGCTGACTGGACTCTAATTAACTTTGGCATGAAACGTCGGAAGCCACCGCGTTAGGGATGGACACAAATTTAAAAGTTTGTACCAATGTCCTCCAACTTGAAATAGTCAGGATAATGGTGACAGATTAATTAAAATGTGTGCTTAGCGTCAACTCACATGCTTCAATTGTATCGTCAAATTGGAGTCAGGTCATATGCTTAAATAATCTTGATGAGCTTCCTTAATTGGACGACTTCCATGCACCAATAAACTGCGTTCAATCAGCTACAATGTTGTTATTAGAACCGGGTGGATTGAACTAAATAAACAAATACAATTCGGTAAGGTTATTGAGTCTTTTGATTTCATGGCTTGTTAGAATTTATGCGCTTATTTAAATTTAAGCATGAGGAAACACATTGAAAATATTACGTGAATTAATACAAGGTCATATTAAAATACGCGTTTTATGGACTGATTGCAACAAGCAATTGAAAGGCAGAATGCGTAAACGCATTAAGATCACGAATGATAAAGCAGCCGCTTGTTATGTTTTGCCCGCCCGATGGATTGCAATTCACGACAGAGGAAACTCGCTATGGTGGCATTGTATACAAATGGTTTAGATCCAAATTCCACCTATTTAATCTGGACGTTTTTAGTCCAACTGGAATAATGTCTTTTCACCGAATTTTTTCCGCAGCCAAGAATTTTGTCAAAACTCCTGCATATGGATAACAATCAGTCCATATTAATTGCAACTGAATCTTTGAGCAGAATATTACAATCAGTTCACTTGCATCAGTTGTTTTAGCTACATTGTCTGCTGTGATTCTCACTGGATAGGTAAATTTTTATGTGAGTAGCTTGTGTTATTAATCCTTGTGCTGTTACAATCATCGCCTTACTATACTGCCTTTTAATGTTTCTCTGCCGCACTGGCCATCAGAAACGTAATATGTGCGCAGTTACATAGTTATATGCATATTCCAAGGTGTGATTTCGGCTGGATTTAAAGAGAAATCTAAATGGTTCTGATGAAGTTTGACTTACTAACACGTGTATTTTAAATGATACTTGGAACTTACATTTGGAATTGGCGCATAAAAATTAATTATTCCGAATTATTCGCTAGTTACAAAGGACTATCAGGATTTTTTCGTGCGAATAGCTTTAGTACTTCTGAGCCGTTTGCACGCAGAATCGTCAACACCTAACTGAGTACAGCGCAACTTGATAAATGCTGTGGAGAGAAACCTATACTTCTAAAATGCTTGTTAATACATCTCAAATACAAAGAGGTTAATTACTGGTATGCCATTTTTATTTTCATTTTTTCTGAACACAATGTTCGGTCGACATTTTATCATCCATGTTGGCAATACGAAACAAAGCTTTCAGTGTAGGGGCAGCTTTACATATTATTAAGTAAAGGCCACGGAGATAAATTTTATCATTACGGAAAAATAGCATAATATGGAAATGATAACAAAGTGTAAAATATACCTGGTTTCTTGAAACAGGTAGAATGTTTGGCAGCGGAAGAACCGCACGCAGATTCAAAGAATAATGTTACTTTTGGGCAAGGAGATTTATTGTTTTATAATCAGTAAGCCGCGTTAAATCGTAACCAACTATCAGGCGTGCAGGTCACTGAAGTCTCAACGGCACAGTTGCCGGTAATCAGAAATGTGTTGGGAACCTGGCAGAGATCCGATTAAAGCGAAATGCTAAGGTGAGCCAGAATTTTGAAAGAGGTTTTTGGTGCCTTTTCGGAACTACGGGACCTAGCATTGCTGAAAGGCAGCTGAGATCATCTACCTATAATCCGATAAGTTAGTAAAAACTGTTAAATAAGAGCAGATAAATGGTAGTTATTTGCAAAATCTGACCTACTTCATTAGGCCATCAACCGCCATTTCATACGGTACGCAGGGGTCAGCCTTTCGGTTAGCCAATCCATGTTGTTATTCTTGATCCTGGGGAAGGGTGGGTACTTCCAAATTTAACTTCGAAAACAACACGAACAAGCTTCACCAAAATGGACTGCACATGTTATGAGCCCTCAATTGCAGCGTCTGCACTTGCTCAGAAGTGGGTAGTACTCGCATTTTCTCATCTATCATCATACTCCTGTTGGATTACAAAGCGCCCGCCTGTTACCCAAACACTAAAGGTGATGCGCAGAAAACCGAACAGATCCAAAATGTCAATTGTATACTCATTCTTAGTTTGCGGATCAGGCCGTGCGAATACGTTAGGAGAGACCTATTAAATCGTCGGATACAAATCCCCCTCATCGTCACAAACAGCATCTTTCACCTACATGACTTACAATGCAAAAGCCACTGCTACTCGTCCGATTCCCCTGCGGCAAATACAAAACCAGAGTAAACATGTCGTTTCAAAACGGAAGCGAAGGTTCCATCTACTGTACTTTGAAAGGAGAGAAACAAAGTTTGTAACAATAGGCTGTGGAATACGGAGGAGAAACTCAGTGCAGCATTACAAAACACTGTTTGGCATAAGTTTCTCCATTGTTAGATGCCCAGAACGAATCTTAAATAAGCATGGTGTTTTGAATTGTTGAGTATCATTTTACCTTAAGTTACACGTTACATTTTTCAATATCAGGTAAACACATGAAAACCTATCACTATACTGTGAGATCAGTGATAGTTATTAAACATTTTAAATCATTATTTGATGAAGTTGTGCATTTAAATTTCTACACGCTCCCATAATGCTATGCTTAGTATTTAAGTCGAAGAAAATTTTGAAGCATACAGGCGTAACCCAATGTACTACTTTCAGCGCTTTTAACTCTATACACATAGATACACTTGTGTATATAAAGCTATTCATGTATAAAATGTAAAAGGATAGATAACTGGTGCTTCAGTTGAGAATCACATAATGGCTGTTTCGAAATGTATATATATCTGTCAATCTCTCTGTTTAGGTAACATAGTTAATTTCATATTTTCCAAATTACTCCCAACTTTATACCTTTGCAACTTTATTACCATGTTTATATAATCTGGTTGTTAGTGGGCGTATATACTATGAAACGTCTTTTATATATTTTGAAAACCAGCACGCAGCACCGCTACCAACCCCACGTATCAACAGCCAAATGTATTTCAATGACATCAGATACTACAGTTTAAATAAAATTTTCCTTACCAAGTTAAAGTTTGGTCGCTGACTTCGAGAAAGCAAATGTTTGGTTTTATTTTATGATACCATTTAATTTAAAGCCCACTGATATCCTCCTAGGTTGCAACGGTTTCCTAATACAAGTTCTTATTTACATCATCAAGTGCACACCAGTCGCTTACACTACCGGTTAAAAAACGTAGTAGCGACCAAGGCAACTCAAGCAACTGTTTGTGCGACGCTGGATTCAGTTCAGTTAAAGATATAATTATTTTCTAATGCGCGACTTACCGCTTCATCCAGGAGTTATAAGGTGGAAAGCAGGCTTCATGTTCACCTATTATTTTATAAGTAATAACCGGTTCAAAATTAAAAGTTTCATATTTCAAGCTATTGCGGCAAAATGAGTTAGGTATTTCCGCCTTAATATAGATAATTATGATTTTGTAAACAAATAGCAAAGGATTACATTACGCGAAAACATTGCTGACACAAGTAACTCCATAATCGCAGTAATTGTAATGGAATGCGGACACTTGTTTCGCATAATATTACCATAATCTGTTTATTCAGATTAAAGATTTTATAATTTTGTTTATGTTCTAATTTGAATGGAAAGCAATACGACTTATTTCTTCGCAACATTAAACTAGGCTACCCAAATATCAGAAAACGAAACGCGGCTTTTATGCTTAGTGGAATAAGGCGCATAGTTGTTCCAAATCTGAGTTAAACAAAATATTTTTATTAATCCGTTAAATCATAAACCGCGATTTTGCATATTATTTACGTTACAGCTTCCATCGCATGAGTAAATGGGCAAGAAATAATTGACGCATTGTGTCCGGTTGGGGAATTCTGGCAAACTCCCACATTTTGGAAAGCCACGTATAATTGCGAAGATGAATAATCGTTCCATTGGAAACCACTCACTTCCGCCCAAAATACAAGAGCTTCAGTATCCAGTGTTTACAATAACAAAGTTCTTGAAAAGATTGTCTGCTTTAACACTTAAAAGGGATGATATAACAAGATTCATAGTGCATTTCAGTTTACCGTAATACAAAATACCAAGGATTTTACAGAGTTCTCAATCCGATTGACTAGGTTTTCGGGTAAAATAATGCCGTTTATTTTATTCATAACAGTATAAAAAGAACACAAAGTTACAACTTGGAGTAGGGTGATAACTTCTGATGTTTGATAAAAATGTAGCAAAAGATAATCAAATATATTAGTCAAGCGAATACAGAGATGCGCTGCGAAGTTTTCGTTCAACGTAGATTGATTCTACCGATCGAGTCGCTACTTCGAGAGCAATTACTCACCAAGTTGCTCAGTGATGATCAAAACACTATGGAACACAAATGACAATAGCCTATCAAAATTGTTCAAATGCGTAACGCTAAGGAAGAGGTTCATTGCGGTGTATTTCATTGTAATTTAAACACCAGCTATTGGGAACATCATTCAGGTGCCAACTACCTAAACTACAATGAAGATTTCTTTATTTTGTTGCCGATTTCCTTAGGGAATTTACATGTCTACGTTTGTATTGTAGTTAATTAGAATGGCGAAATTAAAGCGCGTGAAGTGTAAATGTACTGAGACATGCAATCGCGATGTAGAACATGAATCACATTGATATTAATCTTGTCAGATTTGATCACCGGTTCGTGACTGATGAAGTACAAAAATGTTGAATATTGCCACCCCGCACCCCGAGAACACACCGCACTCCACTAGCAGTGTTTCACTTCTTGTTATCGTGAGGGGCCACTGGAATTTTCGAGGAAACCTCTACTGATTAGCGAAGGATTTCCTATCTTCAAAGCTTAGCACAATAGCCGGTGACTGAGTGGCGGGTCTACTTGGAATAATGCTTATGTGAGTGGATTGTGACGCAAAATCTCAGTGCAGTTTGCCAAAGCACTA